ACGAATTTCTGCCTATGAAAAATGGGGTACTCATGTCGATCATTGTTGTGCCGATAAAGGAGATAAGTCACGTGCATATTGTGTCGGTATATTTCCCCTAACCAATTATTTAATTCATGTGACTAACGATCCTAGAATTTCAAATCTGGAAAGTTTGTGTAATGAAGATTGTCCAACATGCTGTAAATTTTACCCAATATTGCTATAAAAATTTTGCAATCACATAAAATGTATAACGCATTGATAAAATTTTTTAAAGTTCGTTAAGGTTAGTGTTAGGGTTAATGTCTATATTACGATTAAATTTTGGCATAGTTTATAGTAAACGTTTGTTTTGAATTTTTTTTGATCGTGGTATGTTACAAATAATCTTGAAATCTTGAATTCTGATTCGTTTACTCCACAAATTTATCACATGACTGCAAAATTTTTAGATCCGAATCAAAAAAATGCCAGCAAATCATCAAATGGAGGTATTAGTAGGTCTCGAACCCACTACTGCGTGAAGGCAAATCCACGAATAAGCCAGTACGCTATAAAGGATCAACATCGAATTTTTGTAAAAAATTTAATTAATCAATTCATTTAATTGTACCTGTCCTCATTCAATTTCATGTGATTAATCAATATTCTTTTTAATTTTCTATATCGTCGAATTTATACAATGTTTAAAAAAGAAAAAACAAATTCACGTGATTTGGAGGCACTTTGGTATAAGATTGATGAAAAAAATCAACTTGTATCAATAGATGATCTTTTAGATTTCATACATCAAGCTACTCTTAGTGATCTAATATTGTGTCACATAGACGGTGAAATTTACAATTTGAAATAAAAGACGTCAAGCTACTCTTAGTGATCTAATATTGCGCCCTATAGACGGTGAAATTTACAATTTGAAATAAAAGACGTCAAGCTACTCTTAGTGATCTAATATTGCGTCCCATAGACAGTGAAATTTACAATTTGAAATAAAAGATGGTTTATAATGAGCGTTTGTATGATATTATAATGGGTACTTCTCTTTTTTTTTACTGCTTGAATTTTTATATGCGCTTATTGCAAAATTTTGATTTGTCTGAGCCCTTTATAAATTTACAGAAATTTTGGGCTCTTCGATCAAAGCTTCAAAAAGAACTTGGTTTTATAAAAAAGATATCTCTTGTCATTACAAAAAATGATATACATACCAGGATTACCTAACGTATGTGGATAGAAACACATATTTGTTATTAGTAAAAAATCAAATAAATTTAAATATTATAATTATAAATAATCATAGATATAGCAAAACCTTTTAAATAAATAATAACTAAATTGTATAAATATAACTAAATTGTATATATAACCAAATTGTATTCTTGAAAAATATAACAAAATCAACCAAAGTTTCTAAAACTTCCAACATTATTTGAATTAATAAAATGCCAAGATTATCTTAAAGGTAGATTGAAGAACAGTTAATAATCACATCACATGGCCTAAGTTAGGATAAGTATTAAGGGTGACAGTTTAGGCCAAATTTGTTAGTGCTACAGTGCGGGCATCCTTAAACCGACATATAAAATACATAATTTTTAAAAATTTATAAATAAAAAACTAAAATAGTTATAAATTAAATCTCTTTGTAAAATAATAAAATAAAACCTAAAGAACAAAGTTACAAAGTTTATTTTTTTAGTTAATTAATATTTAATAAAGTTATAACCTTTTGAAGTTATTAATAAAATAAAAATTTGGCCACATATATATAAAAACATAACAGAATTTTAAAAAATATAATAAAAATTTAAAAAACATAATAAAATTTCAAACTATTAGCCAATCAGAATTTAGTATTTTGTCTCAAATTTGGCTGCCTTTAAAAAAGTTGTTGGTTTAAGGATGCCCGCACTGTAGTAAACAAAGGATGACGTCATTGCATTATTTAATGACAAAGAATGTACGGGTCACGTGATGATCGAAAAATTATTTAGTTTATTTATGATTAAATTATTAATGAAATTCCTCGAAGAAAATTTTTTGTTAGAGCGCAGGTGGTTTCTTATGAAAATTTGTGTTACGTTACACCAAATAAGAATTCGCCATTGGATAATTTACCCGCAGATCATCACGTGACCCGTACATTTTTTGCCATGGCTGAGCGATTTAGTAAAACCGTTTTTATATTTGGAGTCGTTTTTATATTTCTTGTCAAATTTATTAGTTAACAAAAACGCACATACTAAACACGTCAAACATGTCAGACAAGTATTCAAACGAAAAAATTTGATAACATAGATATAATTGTGTCAAATATTCATTAATAATACAAAAACCCTTTTATTATATCAACCGAAAAACCATTCGAAAACAACTATAAATAATGTGTCAGTATGGGCTAACTTACTTGAGCCGGCTTGAGCCAACTTACTCGAGCTGGCTTGAGCTATCAGTTCGAACCGGCTCGGTGTGGCTTTTTGAACCAAGCTGAACTGGCTCAAGCCGATCCCATCATTAGACAGCAGAGACAATCTAGAAATAGTATGAATGTTATTTAAAAGTTATTAAATAATAAGCAATATCAAGGCATAATAACAATATACCTCATCGGCCTTTTGCAAGGCTTCAATCATCTTTTTACACTCTTTTCGCCTTTGTTGAGTGTATTCACTTTCTTTAAGTAATTCATCAAGAACATCTGCTTTATATAGTTCTTGCAACAGTTCTCGTTGGAGTTCTTCTTTGGTATGTGAGACAAGATTAAGCATAACAGCCTTTGGAACCATGTCGACAATAGTTCTTTTTACAATGTTGAAATATGATTGGATAAGTGTCTCTGTATTAAAATAGATTAGACGGTCAAAAGAAATTCATTGAGTTGCAATATATATAATAACCACATTGTTATAATTTACTTATAATTTCGGTTTCCATTGATTCTCGTTCCGAGAGATTTCCTGACGCTTTCAAAACTGGTGGCGGCTGATTAAAGTAAGATTCAATTATTATCTGATGTTGAGATATAGATTTTTTAAACATAATTTATTGACCCTTACAGGTTCCATGACACCAGCTTTCTTCTTTTTGTTTCCTGTAAAGAAACTTCCAAAGAATCCAGCGTTCCCTGATTCGGAGTCTGACAAATTTGGATTCGGATTAGTAAGATTATTAATACTTCCACGGCCTGTTTTTGGATCTGCAGGGTTTGCGGGCTTTGGGTTATATTTTTCATTAATAGATGCAATGACTTTGTGGCCATTTAAGAAATCAGGATGGCCAGTGTTAATATAACTTGCTTCCATGCTGTTAAATAAAGGACATAGAAAACATGATCAATGGAAAACATTAAAAAAAAAAAACTTTGTAATTCGTATCGTTTTATTTACTAACTTAACAAGGTCCTGCACAAGTTTGTTCGTAGGTGACAGAGCTTTCTTGTAAAAGTTAATGACGACAGAGTAAAACTTGTCTTTTAGTCCAGGAAAACGTTTGAACAACTATAAAATAAAAAATATTTCAATATGATATAATTAAAACATAGGAAACAATTTCATATTATTTTCCAGTTACATACTTGTTTTTGCAACAATTGAGATAAAATTCGAACCAATTCTTCGTATACTAACGTCACACATTTTAAACTAGGTTCCTCTAGGCGCTTAATTTGTTGCTTTATGATCACTTCAAATGCAGTTGAAGCAATAAAGAGAGATGGTGCTGATCCCTAAAAAGAATTGTTTCAAAATTTTTAAAACAAAATACACTGAAATCAAAGCTTTGAAGTCAATTAAAAAAAAATTTTTTTACCGAAGAATTGTAAAGTATCGTTCTAATGTCTACGTCTTTTATTTGATCAAAAGGATCTATTGTCTTTATACCACTAGCAAACACCTCATGAAAAACAAAACTAATACGTGCACCGCCAGATAACTCGAAAGTAGAAAGTTCATTGGAATTGCCGTCAATGATTGTGCGAAATTCTGTACAAAATTCTGTAATAATATTTAGGACAATATTGGCACTATTATTAAGACCTTCATCTAAAGGATCCCCAAGTGATTGTAATTCCATAAGATATTTTGTTAGCACTGCTTGAATTTTGGCTTTTATTTCGGGTAGCGTGTTTCGAATGTGATGCATGAGTATCTAATTTAATTGAATAAAAAACGTTGTTAATTTCAGTCTGGAAAATGAGTAATACGTCGCCTCCTGCTATAATTACATGGTACTATCGCATTTTATGTATTTATAAGAATTGTGACTAATAGAGAGTGAAAACTTGTATATAATATATAATAAAGCAGAAAATTAACATGACTATAGACAATTACAATGTGATTAGAGCGGGAGACGACTGTAATAGGCGATTCATATTAGTAATCAGAAACTACCATGTTCAATTTTCTGGCAAGAAAAGGTGTCCCACAATATTGTGCCTTGCTCTTGTAAGACGGATGGTTCTCGAAGAAATTTTTTTCAGCTTCAAGTGCGGCAGCAATAGCTTTCCTGCTATCAATGTCCTTTTGACCACGATTCACAACAGGTACATAACCTAATAAAAGAATTATTAAGTACCTGATATTATCAAGATATTAATGAATAAGAATAATGTACCTACCGAGACGCAGAGGAATAATACGGCCTGCCAAAATGTCAACGACATCTGTTCCTTGGTCCCTGTTTTAAGTAAAAAGTTATAATGGTCAAGTTTGACCTTCTGCACTAAATTAGTACAATTTTATAATAACTTACATAAGATCAATTTTTGTAAGAACTCCGATAGTACGTGATCCTAACAAAAGACGCAAATTTTTTTAATAAGTAATCGCAATAACCGGAATTGAATTTTTGGAAATAAATACTGATACGAACCTTCGGGATCTACTTCACGGGCCAGTTTCAACCCATCTGAATTAGCCAGGTCAGTATTGGCAGCAGTAACTGCAAGAATAATTGCATTAGGTTTGGTGATATATTTCAAAATCATATCTTTGATTTGCTTTTCAATGTCCTTTGGCTGATCTCCAACGGGCACCTATAACAAAGTGGGATTAATTATTCGTAATGTATGGTAAGAAATTAGATGAATGACCTCAGGTACACAACATACCTTTGTAAGTCCAGGCAAATCAACAAGTGTTAATGTAAGTACATTAGGTGAATATATTCTTAAGTTTATAGGTGCTGGAGAGATGCCTATTAATTCATGATATAACAGAATCATGGTTAATAAAGATTATTAAGAATAATACGAGCAAATACTAAATACTGACCAGCATTTTTTCCCGTTTTGGCTTCAGTATCCTTGACAATCTCATCACGAATCTTGTTGAAATCAGTAAATTTTACGCCAGGCATGTGTAAAAACTCTCCCCACTCATCTTCATTATTTAATGTTTCTGGTTCTTTACAATTCACAGGTTCTTTACCATTCACGGGTTTCACAGGTTTCACAGGTGTGTCTTTCACATCTTTACCTGGGTTATCTTCAGTTTTTGCAGCTGAACTTGCCGGCCGATTTATAAGTTGTAAGACCTAAAAGACAAACGAATACTATTAATAATTTGACACCTTACGTCCAATAAATTGTTTATAAATGAAAAATATTAATAAATTTATTATGCTTATAAGCATAATCTAACGCGTTTTATGGAAACAATGTATTTTTTCATATATTGACAAAGAAACTTGCAAATAACAACTTTGGAGAAGTATAAATAAGTTTCAGAATAGCTTCACGTAAAAAAAAATTCAACACTAACCAAAGGTCTTCGGGTCACAATGCCAGTACCTCTAGGTAAGAAGTCACGTCCCACAATATTCTCTAATACTGAACTTTTACCACTTGATTGAGAGCCAATAACTACAATCTGCGGTAAATCAACAGGATTTTGAACTCCGACAGTTGCAAAGGCATCCTGAAGTTTATTAACTGTACAAATTGAATTAGTAGGAAAGCTTTTTATAAATTCAACGATTAAGTTTCAAAAAGGAAATTACCAGTTTTAATTAACGTAACGTCCATTTGCAACGACGGGAACAAAGGTATAAGGTGCAGTCACTTAGCAAATTACCAGATCGAGAATACAATTCCGTTGGGCGTATCGAGCTAACGAACGAGCAACGACTTTAGCAACGCAAGTCGTACAAAAGCTTTTTTCCAATCTTATCATCACGTGAATATATTTCCCGTGTTACATACAATTTTTTTCTTAATGTTTCTTTCACGTTTACGCAATTCAGCGAGTAAAGCATCTAACCTTAAAATCTTTTGCGTAACTAGACTGGGCGACAAGAAAATTTTTTGCACGTGCCCATACTCATTTATTTATACGCGAAGACTGAGGAATTTATCCAGGTCAAATTTGTACAGCCGTTTGTCTTACCTAATTCGTACCCAAAGAATTTCGCCTTGGCAAACGGCAACCTATAGCAGCGCTAAGCCTTCCGTTATCGAAGAAAATTCTAAAAAAATTGAGCCAGAATATTCTTCATGGCTTTATACTTATCTTCCGTCAAAACTCGTGCCTTATGCTCTTCTTGCGCGTTTAGATAAACCTATAGGAACTTGGCTCTTATATTTACCTTGCAGTAAGTCATTTCCACCTCCCGATATTTCCACACCCATGTAAATCACACTTTTTTAAAACTTTGATCAAAGATATCTCATCAATCACCTAATGAAATTTGATGAACTTATTTTTATTTGATTTTTATGAATCCGTAGAATTCAAAAAAAAAAAAAAAAAAAGTTTATCGAGTTTCATTGGGTGGTTTGAGACGTTTAAATTTTAATCGAAGGTATCTCAACAACCACCCAATGAAATTCGATGATTTTTTTTTATGAATCCATAGAATTAATATAAAAAAAAAGTTCATCGAATTTCTTGGGTGGCTTTCGAGATATCTTCGATCAAAGTCAGGAAAAATTTTGCCGCGGCTTATATTTTTGATAGACGCTTAGAATTTTTTTAAAATTCGGATCGAAGATATCTCGAAACTACCAATAAAATTCGATGAACTTTTTTTTTATCGGAATTCTATGAATTCATAAAATTCAAATAAAAAGGTTCATTGGATGGTTGTCGAATATCTTCGATCAAATTTTCGGAAATATCGGTCCCTAAGTCAATAAGCAGATTTCTTTATCCGTGCTGACAAAGACAAATGTACGTTTTTGACGACTACTCATTTATAGCATGGAGCATTACAATGGCAACATACCATGCACAATTACCAGTTTCTCAGACTATCTATATGCTGACTCTTTTTGGCGTTGGGGCATTTATAATGAGAGGTGCTGGATGTACGATCAACGATTTATGGGATAGGAGAATCGATAAACAGGTGGAACGGACACAAAACCGACCACTTGCATCAGGTGTGGTGACTCCTTCTCAGGCCCTTATTTTTCTAGGATTACAATTATCAGCGGGGTTAACAGTCTTGACCCAATTAAATTATTATAGGTATGACAAAATGTAATATCTAGATGGAACGGAATTTAATTGTTTGGAATTTCTAATTTCAGAATTTTTAGGTCAGAATTAATTTTAATATCAACTGAAATTCAAAATCCACTTAAATTCCGTTCTCACAACATATACACATTTGATAAAGACTCTCTAAATGCACCCTTTAGAGCCATAGTAAGCCATTTCAAAATGAGCACTTAGAGAGTGTGCACATTTATAGAAAACAATATATATAGTGCTATTATCACTTAAAAGTTATTTTACACATAGAATGCATTTATGGAGAGTGCATTTAGGGAAGTCTCTGTATATTTTGTTCGCTAGATTAATACAAATTGGGTAAAAATAGTATTGTTCTCGGTGCGACATCTTTAAGTATTGTTTCTATATATCCGTTAATGAAACGTGTAACTTTTTGGCCACAACTCTACCTTGGTACGTAATTATTTAATGAAAGTCGCGGATCATAATGAAATTGGATTAGCCCCCAAAGCATACTTCTACTTGTTTATTATAAAACCTACCCCTAATCCTAACCCTAAAAAAATGTTAAAAAAGTGCACCCCAAAAATTTGTATTTTTCGGTGGCTTGTCTATTTTGCACTATCTTTCATTTCATTTTAATCTGATTTCATTTTAATCCGTCACAATGAATACATAATCATATTCGATATATTCGATATTGGATTGAATTATTTACAATAACAGGACTAGCTTTTAATTGGGGTGCATTATTGGGTTGGCCAGCGATGATTGGCAGCAACGAATGGTCAGTTACTCTCCCGTTATATTTTGCCGGTGTGTGTTGGACGTTGGTGTATGATACGATTTATGCACATCAGGTGAAAAAATTCATAGAAAGTTGCAACCATTTTTTGAAGCACAATTTTTTAAATTAGGTATTTACCTACACAATTTATCACTTTTTTTTTTATTTAATGGCTGTTTTCTTATTATGCTCAGGACAAGAGCTTTGATAATGCGATTGGAGTAAAGTCAACTGCTCTTTTGTTCGGGGACAATACCCGACTGTGGTTAAGTTTTTTCTCAGGATCAATGGTGACACTTCTCATTCTAGCAGGGCAGATGAACGGCCATAATTGGCCTTTCTATTCGATTTCTGTTCTGGGTACAGGAACTCACCTTGCGTGGCAGCTTCGTACGGTGAATTTTGATAACGTAGCTGATTGTGATAGAAAATTCCGTAATAATAAATGGATTGGTATTTTGGTATTGAGTGGTATTTTGGCTGATATCGTTTGGAAAACTTTGAATAGTGACCAATCAACAAGCATTTCAGAAATAGATTAATAGAATGTTTAAATACAATAATGACATTGTCCAATCTATTATCTATTAGTTTATTCAGTTCTATAGTAATTATTTGCGAAATTATGTTTAAACACATTTACAAAGAAAGAAGTTGGTAATAATGAACTGGTGAACTTTTAAAAATAAAAATTTAGGATTGATATTTTGAAGTCTTACTAAAGTCCTACTACGTGTAAAATTCACGATTTTTATATTTCCACCTTTACCTCGTTTCGTTATTCCGATCGATATCAGGGTCAATTATATGCCCCAGTAAAAGTTGCAACCTCTCTAGTGCCACATTTTGTAGGTATTCACCATCTAACGTTTTAGTATCGTCGTTCTTATTATTACTACACCATCGTGATGGTGAAAATAATCTAGCCCAATTCCATTCTGCTTCTGGGGAGGGTCTACAAGTCGTTGTCATTGGGTATTCTAAGACAGTAAACAGAAGGTGATCAAGGAGATAAATTTGAGCTTGGAATAAGTCGTTATGTAGAGTATTGTATGTGATAGTATGATCATTGGCTATAAACGAGGAATACTCTTCAGGTGAAAAATGGAGTAAGGATGAATCTTTGCACGCCATAATACTTATAAATTCTTTAACGAAAGGACGCTCGCAGGAACGTATCGGTATGTTTTGTGAAGTTTTGTCATTATGAGATTGGTCCAGCCCACGTTGTTTGATATAAACCTCGGTGAACTTCTCATCACTCCATTCTTGCCGAAACTCTTCTTCCTCGATATCTTGTTCTGAAATCATAAATTCGGTCGTAAGCCAATTTTCTTGGTTGATTCCTTTCATCAAAATTGGCCCATTATCTTCACTCTGTTGAATAAAATGATTCCAGCCATTCAACCCTTCATTATAATTATTTCTCCCGGTCTCTTGCCATTTTCTTTCAAGATTTGAAAGACGAAAGGAATCAGTCGTATTTCTTCCTTGTTCTATCAATTTCCTTGTTGAGGATGCAATGCCATAATCTTGAAAAAATTTATTTGCAAAAACTGAGAGCGGGCTGTTGGATAACCCATTACCAGCACAGGATGATGTTACTACTGTAGACATTCTAGTTAAAGAAAAAAAAAACTCGTCTCAATTTTAAATTTGAAGTTTATAACATGTGAAAAGTGACCCGATCCCGATCGTTCTCAGATTATCATAGATCTTTGATGCCAAAATCAAATCAAATCGTGAACGGATCAGCCCGCATGCACCTGTTTAAATAATATAATCTAACCCCTTTAAGTTTGTATAACCCAAATAAATATTTTATATTATCCCGACGAAGTACAAAGTTAATTAAAATAAAACTATCAACTTTAAATGATATACAGATATATATAGTGAATTTTAAGAGTATTCTTGATGTCCACCAAACCGAAATCGGAGGTTATTGGTTATTATATATTTATTTAATATATATATCGCACAAATACAATCTGGCTTATCTACTACGTAGTATGTTATTAACATGACTAAGTTAGTACTATACTTTACTAGATCACATATTCAACTTTTTAGCTTCTTTAAGATCTGATTACTAGTTTACTTTAACTAATATAAATTTATCAAGCTTTAACTCTTCAATTAAATCCATTGCTAATATCATTATCAAATTTAATATATTCAAATTTATAATTTATTTAACTTCTCATTTTTCCTATAAATACTTTTTGATCTCATTCGCAGGTTAATATAATCGACCAATTAGATCACAAGAACTTGTGTAACAAAAATCAGCGAAAAATTAGAAAACTTAAGAAAAAAAATTAATATTTTTAAATATCTCGAAATTTCATTATGTAAACTAGTCTTGGGCTTCTAATTAAAAGTTTTCAGTACTTAATTTTGCGTATATATGTATTCTGTAATCCCAATTCTTGTACTAGTTCGAACCCTAACCCTAATTAATAATAATTTAAAATTTTTTTTAAAATATTATTAACCTGCGATATCAAAACCTGCTAAATTTAACAAAAATCTATTTTTAAAATGTTTCGAATCTCTCGAAACATTTTTAATTTCAATATTATTTTTAAAATGTTTCGAATCTCCTGAAAATCTTTAATTTCAATATTATTTTTAAAATGTTTCATCTCCCGAAACATTTTTAATTTCAAAATATTTCGAATCTCCCGAAACATTTTTTAATAATTTGAGTCCACGTTGTTCGTCAAGAGTTCTTAAAGGTATTTCAACGTAATGTAGTCGGATTAACGGATGAGCTTTCCGATCACTTATTGTCGAAATCAAAGATGTTCCTAAAGAAAACTTTTTTTAACTACCAGTTATCAGATTACATTAATCATACGTATAAATAGCAAGCTTTACCAGGCACAGAACATCTCCCCTTATAAAGGCTCAAAATGTTATATATAATAAAAATTATAGTAAAAACATATAAATTTACTATAAACTTGAGCTGAAAAAATTAAATTTTGCGATTAAATAGAATAAAAACCAAGTTAAAATTTTGCTAATTTTGTATAATTTGAAAATGTCCAACTTTACCAAAAATAAAAATTTACCGATTTTAGTGATTATTATATGTAAAATTATGCATCTGAACAACTTTACTTAGAAGGCTAAATTAGCGAAAAATGAAATACGTACGTACGAACGTATTTATTTTTAAAATTTAAGAAAATTTTACTACGTACGTATCACGTACGTATTATCCGTTTATTCCACGTTCGGAATCTTAATATTTCCTTTTTTGGGGGGTGGCTAAAGCGGAGCGAGTTTTTGATGATCGACAGATGATCGACCAATCAAATTGTGAAATTTTGGCCATCCCGGATCAGTCCGACGAAACAAAACAAGCGAAAAAAAAGAGACAAACGCGAAAATACAAGAAACAATAGTCATAACCTACTTTGGTACGTTAATAAAAAATGTCGGGGAGGCAATTTTACCTATACTCCCTCTTAAATATAACATCAAAATGGCCCTAACCCTAACCCTAATATTAAATAAATGCTAAATTAGAAAAAATTTCAAAACTCGCTCCGCTTTAGCCGACCCCCAAATTTCCATGCATGATCTGCAGTCAGTGATAAGCTAATACGTATAACGATATGATTTTTTTATTTATTTCACCATGGTTATTATAATTTCTTTTATAGAAATAATTCATGATAAGTAGGGATGGATCGGTCCGGTCCGGTCGGTCCCGGTCCTAGTGAGACCATTATCATAGTATTTTTTGGTCCAGTCCGGTCTGTCCTCGCGGTCCCAAAACGGTCCTTTAATGATTCCGTCATATCTTAATGCATGAGATCCTATTGGTCAAAAATGACTATCAGATGTGACAAACATCATATGATCTGTGTTACATCTGATCAAGCAATTTTTGATTGGGTGATACCAATATCAAAGTATGTTTACAAGGACCGGTAAGGACCGGCCAGGACCAGTCCGTTCAACAGTCCCACAGTCCTTATCAGTCCCGGTCTAGAAACCGGTCCGGACCGGTCTTTTTCAGGACCGATCCATCCCTAATGATAAGTTCTTCTATATAAATAATACGTAGTAATTTAAATTTTTACAAAATTTGCATGATTTTTTTTTTCGCTTCGGACCTACATCAGATTCTGATTTCCTAGTATATAATGTTATGTATGCATGTTTATATAAAAATCTGCCAATGTGATTACTATGATTGTGATATCCAATCAATATATGATTTTACATACTCACTCTAGTTAGCCGAAATAATACGTATATGTTATGGTCTATGAAGTGGACAATGGTGATGTATTAGAATGTTCCAAACTATGTGATGAATGGTTTCAGCAATAACAATAAAGTGATTAATACCAAATTACGTGATGAATAATTTCGTATGAGGTATTTACCGCTTTTTGTTATTGCTGAAACCGTGAGATACTATTTACCACATGGTTTGGGATGTCCCAATAGTTTGGGTAACATCGCTAGTGAACAATAACTAAAAATCAAACCTAGATCAAATAATCAGAATGGCTAATTCATCATTATTCATCATCTGATTTAGATTAGATTTGGTTATGCCTACTTCGCAGATAATAACATATTCTTATGCATCCTATTACAGTTCTTACTAATTGTGCATATTCAGAGTTTAGTTTGTTAAAAATTTTTTCTATTTCCTATCGTTATTGTTTTTAACCCATCTTTATTCTTATACAAATTTATTTCAAATGATTTTTAAAATAGAATGCATGGATGCTCTCAATAAGTTAATTAACTATATTGTAGGATATTTATAACTCATCAGGTTTCATCATAGATTTAACTTAGTAGCATCGACAGAACAGATTTTCATTGATCAAACGAATATCGCACTTATTTGTATCAAAATTTTTTTCGCTAATGCGCGGGTGGCTTCATAAATGAATTTGTATTCTAGTTAGTGAATTGGTTTAAATCCTTACAGTAGTAGATCAACCATTTCACCAAAAACTCATATTTGTTCGGCTTCATATTTTTATTGAAGGCAATTTATGCCAATTCATATGGGCTAATTTTTGCGATCTACATTTCAAAACAATCTAATTCCGGTCAAATTTGCAGATCATTTGGCCTAATGCGCGTTAGACCAAATGATCTGCAAATTTGACCAGAATGGTGTCTGACGAAATTATTTTTGTAACAAGGAGAAAAAGTTTAAATAATTAAATAGGTTGTTTAAAAGAAGCGACGTACGAGTTGTTACGTCCGACCCGTATGATAATGCACCCAGAAAATGTGTACCAGGTTGGGAGTCTGGAAAGATAGGTCGGAATAATAAGAACATTCGGAACTAGAAACCAAAATTACGTATTTCATACGTAATATCAAACATTACACACCCAAAAGTTAATAATCGATATTGTTTTTAAGCGTTAACTTAGCATGATATTTTTCATTGTTTTTCTTCCTGGAAAAAAAAAAGGACAAAACATGTTATAGACACGGTTTTAATATTGTGAGCAGTTATTATCGTAATTACAAGAAACCATCAAATTGGAACCTAAGTAAACTTTGAATATATCGAACCTGCCTATTTCCGTTAGCTTATAAGTATCGCAATGTTCAGCCGTTTAAAGATAATATTGAAAATGGTTTGTATTTTATTCATAGTAATTCAATATTTACTTAAAAATTACATAACGACAAGATCTAAATAAGCATATAATTCTTGTTAAAACGCAGAAAAAGGATATGACAAATTTAAATCTTTAACGATGGGCAAGTTGGTGCTTTATCTCTTTCGACAAGATTCCTTATCACAGTCGTAATAGGTCAAAAATTAGAGTTCTGCCGCATCAATTTAAAAAAAAATTCGTGTACAGAAAGAAGATATTATTCTAAAATGAAAAGTATAATAAAAGATTAACCACAAAAAGAGTGAAGTCAACTCTTTCTATAAAGAAAAGTTTCTGGAAAAAAAAGTTCGTTATAAAAAACACATGGCTTCTATACCGAACTATTATGAATATCAAAATTTTGAGTTCATTACATCCAGAGTCGACTGTACATAATTATTGAAGAATGTTACAAAAAAACCAACCAAATGGCTAAACATACAAACTAAGGTCAAATGATTAAGTAGAAATCAACTAAATCAGCGTTATGTTTTTAGAATGTCAAATTTCAAATTATTTGTATTATTTCTGTGTTGTATATACATTGTAATGTGTTAAATATTGCTTTATGTGATCGTTATTTAATTGAAAAATAGCCTTATAATTTGAAAAAATAGTCCAAGACTTAATTTCCGGACCATAATCTGAACGACCATCCGATCCTAACCTGGTACACATTTTCTGGGTGCGAATATGATAAAAAATTATAATGTACATAAAAAATATATATATAGTTAAAACAATTGAATATCCTTTACTTAAAATGTTAGCACGAACAAGTAAAAAATCGACATTTAAATCTCAATGAAAATATTTATTACAGATCATTGGAGATACTTGAAAATTTTCTTTATGAAAGCATCACTATTACTTTTAAGGTCTTCATAACATTAAACTTAGCTTTGAAAATATAGCAAAAACATCGGTCTGATTGTAGCCTTGGTTTTAAGGAAACGA